TGGGATTGGGTGGAAAATGGGAAAGGAGTGGGAAAATCCCAAATCCTTGGGTTGGGAATGGGAAAATCTGGGAATTCGGCTGGGATTGGGGTGGAAAATGGGAAAGGAGTGGGAAAATCCCAAATCTCTGGGTTGGGAATGGGAAAATCTGGGAATTCAGCTGGGATTGGGGTGGAAAACTGGGAATGCAGCTGGGATTGGGGTGGAAAAGTGGGAAAAGCATTGGGAAAATCCCAAATCTCTGGGTTGGGAATGGGAAAATCTGGGAATTCGGCTGGGATTGGGTGGAGAATGGGAAAGGAGTGGGAAAATCCCAAATCCTTGGGTTGGGAATGGGAAAATCTGGGAATGTGGCTGGGATTGGGTGGAAAACTGGGAATGCAGCTGGGATTGGGGTGAAAAACTGGGAAAAGGAGTGGGAAAATCCCAAATCCTTGGGTTGGGAATGGGAAAATCCGGGAATGCAGCTGGGATTGGGTGGAAAATGGGAAAGGAGTGGGAAAATCCCAAATCCTTGGGTTGTGAATGGGAAAATCTGGGAATGTGGCTGGGATTGGGTGGAAAATGGGAAAGGAGTGGGAAAATCCCAAATCCCTCGGTTGGGAATGGGAAAATCCGGGAATTCGGCTGGGATTGGGGTGGAAAAGTGGGAAGGAACAGGAATTGGGGTGAAAAACTGGGAAAAGGAGTGGGAAATCTGGGGAAGGAGCGGGGAAAATCCGGGATCCCCGCGCTGGGAATTCCGGGAATGGTTCCGGAAGGTTCCGTGCCCCTCCCCCCGCAGAGCTGAGCTGCGCCCGGATGGAGCCGGAGCCGCCGGAGCCGCCGGAGCCGCTCTGAGCGCAGGTGAGCCCGGAATTGCCGGGAAATTCCGGGAAATTCCGGGAAATTCTGGGAATTTCTGGGGATTTTTGGGGATTTTTGGGAATTTCTGAGAATTTCTGGGGAATTTCCGGGAATTTTGGGGAATTTTTGGGGATTTTTGAGAATTTCTGAGAATTTCTGGGGAATTTCCGGGAATTTTGGGGAATTTCTGGGTATTTTTGGGAATTTCTGGGAATTTCTGGGGAATTTTGGGGAATTTTGGGGAATTTTTGGGAATTTCCGAGAATTTTGGGGAATTTCTGGGATTTTCCGGGGATTTCTGGGATTTTTGGGGAATTTTTGGGAATTTCCGAGAATTTTGGGGAATTGCTGGGAATTTTGGAGAATTTCTGAGAATTTCTGGGGATTTCTGGGGATTTCTGGGGATTTCTGGGGATTTTTGGGAATTCCCAAGAATTTCTGGGGATTTCTGGGGATTTTTGGGAATTTCCAGGAATTTCTGGGAATTTTTGGGAATTTCCCAGAATTTTGGGGAATTTTTGGGAATTCCAGCCCAGAATTCCTGCTCTCCCCAGGCCTGAGATTTTTCCGGGAATTTCTGGGAGTTTACGGGAATTTCCAAGAGTTTCTGGAAATTCCAGCCCGGCCTTCCCACTCTTCTTAGGCGTGGGATTTCCAGGAATTTCTGGGAATTTCTGGGATTCCAGCGTGGAATTCCCATTCTTCCCAGGCCTGGGATTTCTGGGAATTTCCCAGAATTTCCGGGAATTTCTAGGAATTCCAGCCTGGCCTTCCCGCTCTGCCCAGGCCTGGGAATTTCTGGGAATTTCCAGGAATTTTTGGGAATTTCTGGGTATTTCCAGGAATTTCTGGGAATTCCAGCCCAGAATTGCCCTTCCAGGACTGGGATTTCCGGGAATTTCTGGGAATTCCAGCCCGGAATTCCTGCTCTGCCCGGGCCTGGGATTTCTGGGAATTTTTTTGGAATTTCCGGGAATTTCCGGGAATTCCAGCCCTGCCTTCCCTCTCTCCCCACAGGTCCTGGAGGGGGAGGCTCCGGCGCTTTCCCCTCCCCCAACTCCGCACAAGATTCCAACCAAACCTCGGGAATTTCGGGATTTTTCGTGGGAAAGAGAAAAAAAAACAAAGAAAAAACCACAAAAAACGGATTTTTCCCGAGTTTTTTTCCGGATTTTTCCTGACTTTTCCCTCCTCCGAGGGGCAGCGAAGGAGCCGGGGCTGCGCCTTCCCGATTTCCCGGGAATTCCCGCCGGGATCCGCGACACTACAGGGACCGGGAGCGGCCGGAATTTGGGAATTCCGTCCCTCAAAAATCCCGGGATCGGCTGCTTCCGCAGCCCCCGCGCTTTATTTATTTTTAATTTCCCTTCCTTTCCGGCGGTTCTGGTTTCTTTGGGAATTTTTTCCCGGTTTTTTCCCATGTCTTCCCCCTTTTTTTCCTGTTTTTTTTCCCCGTTTTTTCCCATTTTTTTTTCCCGTTTTTTCCCCCCCTTTTTCCCTGTCTCTATTTATCACCAGCCGCAGAATTCCCGGGAAAACGGGGAAGGTGGAAAAGGGGAGAGGGAGGGGCTGGAATTCCCAAATTTCCGGAGTCGCAGCCGGGGGAATCGGGGATCTCCCAGCCCGGAATTCCCGAAATTCCCGGAATTCCCGGGGAATTCCCGGGGGTCGCTTTTCTTTCTTAAGTGCAATAAAATCTTTCAGGGAGCTGAGGGGGCGGGGTTGGAATTCCGGGGGGATATTCCCGAGATTCCGGCCGGGAATTTTCGCTGGTGTTTCCGGGCTTTGCTTTTGGGGCTTTTGGGGGTTTTTTTTCCGTCTTTTCCCGGTTTTTGGGTTTTTTTTTTTCTTCTTTTCCCTTTTTTTGTTTTTTTTTTTTTTCTTCTTTTCCCGGTTTTTGGGTGGTTTTTTTTTTCCCTTCCTTTTCCCCGTGGTGGAATTTTTGTTAACGGCTGTTTTCTAATTAAAGGAATTCTGCATTCGTCACCCGCCCTCTTTTTGGGGGCTCATCCCGGAATTCCAGGATTTTGGGAATTCGTGGATTTGGGGATGGGGCATGGGGGGGTGAAATCCCAAAAAAAAAACCCCCGGAACAGGCAGGAAATCCCAAAAAAATCCCAAAATACGGAGCCGGGGGTGGAACTCGGTTTATTGGGGGATGATCCTGGGGGGTTTTCCTGGGAATTCTGGGTGGGAATGGGGTTTGGGAATGGCCCAAATTTGGGGCTTTTTTGGGGCCATTTTCCTGATTTTCCTTCCCAAAAGATCCCAAATTTTGGGAAGAGATCCCAAAAATGTCTCAGGGTTGGGGATTCCTGGGAGGGATCAAAATTCCCGTGGATTCCGGGAACTTTGGGATCATCCCGGTCCCCTCCGAGCATTTCCCAGTGACAAAAAAATTGGGAATAAAAGCCCGGAATTCCCTCTGGATCATCCCAGTCCCCTCCAGCACCTCCAAAATCCAGGATCAAAACCCCGGAATTCCCAATCTCCCAGTGACAAAAACTGGGAATAAAACCCCAGAATTCCCTCTGGGTCTTCCCAAACCTCTCCAACATCCCCAAAAATCAGGAATAAAACCTGGGAATTCCCTCTGGATCTCCCCAGTCCCCTCCAGCATCTCCAGGATCACAATTCTGGGATAAAACCCCAGAATTCCCAATCCCTGTTCCCCTAAAAAGATTCCCAAATCCTCCAGGAGTTCCCCTGCCCTAAGGGGGCTCTGGATCCCGTTCCTGATCCCAAATCCCAAATCCTGATGCCAATCCTGATCTCAAATCCCGGATCCCAATCCCAAATCCCAAATCCTGATCTCAAATCCCGATCCCAATCCCAAATCCTAAAACCTGGTGCCATTCCTGATCCCAAATCCGGATGCCAGTCCTGATCCCAAATCCCAATCCCAAATCCCAACCCCCAAATCCCAACCCTAAATCCCAATCCCAAATCCCAATCCCAACCCCAAATCCCAATCCCAAATCCCCATCCCAACCCCAAATCCCAGTCTCATCCCAATCCCAATCCCAAATCCCAAATCCCAATCCCAAATCCCGTCGGGGTCACCGGGCGCAGGGCGGGCACTGCACCCCACGGGACACGGGTGCTGCCCAACCCCAAATCCCAAATCCCAACCCCAAATCCCAAATCCCATCCTAAATCCCAAATCCCATCCCAAATCCCAAATCCCATCCCAAATCCCCATCCCAAATCCTGTCGGGGTCACCGGATGCAGGGCGGGCACTGCACCCCGCAGGACACGGGTGCTGACCAACCCCAAATCCCAATTCCAAATCCCAATCCCAAATCCCAATCCCAACCCCAAATCCCAAATCCCGCCGGGGTCACCGGGTGCAGGGTGGGCACTGCACCCCACGGGACACGGGTGCTGCCCAACCCCAAATCCCAAATCCCAAATCCCGCCGGGGTCACCGGGCGCAGGGTGGGCACTGCACCCCGCGGGACACGGGCACGGCCCAACCCCAAATCCCAACCCGAAATCCCAAATCCCAAATCGCGCCGGGGTCACCAGGCGCAGGGTGGGCACTGCACCCCACGGGACACGGGCGCCGCCCAACCCCTAATCCCAAATCCCAATCCCAAATCCCGTCGGGGTCACCAGGCGCAGGGCGGGCACTGCACCCCGCGGGATATGGGTGCTGCCCAATCCCAAATCCCAACCCCAAATCCCAATCCCAAATCCCACCGGGGTCACCGGGCGCAGGGCGGGCACTGCACCCCACGGGACACGGGCGCCGCCCAACCCCAAATTCCAAATCCCAACCCCAAATCCCAAATCCCAACCCCAAATCCCAATCCCAAATCCCGTCGGGGTCACCGGGCGCAGGGCGGGCACTGCACCCCGCGGGATATGGGTGCTGCCCAATCCCAAATCCCAATCCCAAATCC